GGCTTTTACTGGCAAACTTTTTTTTTTTTGGGGGGGGGTTTAAAACCCCCCCCCCCAAAAAACCACGCCCCCCCCCAACATGTGGGGGGGATTTTGAAGTTTTCCCCCTTGTTTTTTTTTTAAAATTTTTCCACCCTTTCCCCAAAAATTTCTCAAAATTCCCCCCCAAAATTTTTGGGGGGGGGGTTTTGAAAAACCCCCCCCCCCACCCCCCCCCCCCCCCCCCCAAGCAGGGTTTCACCTTAGTTCAATTAGCATGCTCATGCCATGTGATCACCACGTAACCGAGCCTTGTAACGTCTATGATACTCCAAATGTAAAAGGCGAATGAACTATCTGTCTTAATCAGTTGGATAAGTTATTTTATGTTGGAGTATCCCGATCAAACCCTTTTGCCTGGGCTATATTAGCACAAACGTTTAACAAGTTCATATATATATATATATATATATATATATATATATATATATATATATATATATATAGGAATTTGTATCTCTTGTACATGAACCAAAATACAGCACAGCGGCTGAACCAAGATACAACAACCGTTCTCCATGCATCATCGCGATGCAGATGAACTATTATATCTGCCACAATAGTCTTATTGCTGCCATCATCAGGCACAGTCACCACTGGTTTGGAATCAAGGACGGATGATCATGAGGTTCCAAGGACTTGAACCAGCTACAAGTAATGCCAAGTGTTGTTGAACCAGCTCCTACACAAGAAAAAACAAATAACTGGTGTTAGTCCTACTATATCTATGTGTCATATCGTTAAATATAGAAAACCACCGTACCTGCCACATATAGTGATCCCCACTTTATAGCTGATTGTAAGAAACAGTGGTAGAAGGAAGAGAACATATAAGCCACCTCGAAGCACCACTGATACTGCATCAACCTGATTCTTAGAAGGCACAAAGTCTGAAGTTTTTCTAGATACATTGTCTGCCATCCTGTAGGAAAGGATAAAGCTCGCATGTCCGTTCTTCTGCAATGACCAGTGTCCCACACTTCCTGATACCGTGGGATCACAGATGTAAACAAACCCGGTTGTGACATGGATTGAGCTGGCCGGGTGGACTGCGGACGTCTGTGCCATTGATTTTGCAGCGCCAGCAGGATACTCAGCAGCAAATGCAGGGGGTGCAGGGATCGAGCCCAGCATGTTCACCAGACATTTTGAAATGGTTTTGTCATTTCCATCCTTCATGTGGGCATCTGCACCAGAGTTTTGATGAAATTGTGTAGGACTATACTGTAGAGGACTGAGGCTGAATTACTATGTGTCAATTATGCAACTAACCATCGCCAAATAATCTACTATGGTATTTGAAACCAATCACAAACTAGGTGAGAATATCAATTTTTTAGCAGGAAAACATGATACAAAATAAAACAAAGGGCCTTCAGTGACATTAGGAGGAACTTGGGATTTTCGCACACCGACTATATCATTTGCAGAGTGATTGAAACACTAATTTGTGTATGCTATTGTTGAGGTTGTAATGCATACCTGGTTTAACAGTTACATCCTCATGGTTGCCCTCCGTCTTACTACAAGCAACAGATGAAGCTGAGGATGATGCTCCACCTACAATGTGTGTATCTGGCACCTGTGCTGGTGCCTTGCTTGTTGAGCAATTGCCATCACAAACCTATTGTATATGGAAAGAGAACAGATAAGCGATCTAAGTTATCATGAAATGCTCTTCTACAAATTTAAGAGTCTGCCAGCTCTTACCTCTCCAGGAAAGTTGGACTTGTCAGATGAACTAGTACATTCTGAGCATCCTGGGAAACCTATAGTGTCATAGTATAACTTATCATTAGTGGCATCAAAATATGCCAATAAGTCATCAATCATCTCAAAACCAGACGTGTCATGGACGGGTGAGTGTGTAAATTGATCCTTTTCATGCTCGAATGCTAGATTATCACTAGGTGCATCACAGAATACCATGTTTTCTTGAAGCTGTTGGCTCGAAGGGCAACCACCAGGAACAGGACTCAAATCATTTGGTTGGACATAGAAATTATCCTGTGCTGAGGTCATCTGGTATGATTCCAAGGGGTCAGAATTCTGGCTCATGGTGTCAAAGAACTCCTCAATGTCAAGCATTTTCTGCAAGTTGCTATTTCCATCTATCCCATCCATATTCTGAGCATGGAAAGTTCTTATGGGATAACTAGATTCTTCACTTAGTGGGAATGTCGCATTTGCAGAATCTGTAAGGTCATTCAACTCCACATATTCATCCTTTTCATTTGGAGGACTATGATTATGAGTGTGTTCTTCCATGAGAGTTTCCTTTTCCATGTCATCAGTGGGAGTTTGGCTAATCTGCTGTCCAGGTTCATCAATACACTCAACCATGTTGGTGAAACTAGTGTCATCGACTGTCTCGTCCAGTAAAATGGTGGCATCTTCTGTAAGGCCACCATAGTCCTCATCAAGATCTGCCACAAGGTTGGAAGCATTCACATGTTGATTCTCCAAGTCCACATTCTGAAAATAATTCAAAAAATTTAGTAAAATTGCAAATTACAAAGATGTTGTCCAAACCACCTGGGAACAGGAGATATCAACAACAACCAAGTTCCATCAAAATGAAGTATTCATTTTGATATCTCTAGAAAATTTTGTAAATTCCTACAGACAATGCACAAACTATACTAAGTCAAGGTTATCTTTAAATAATTTTGCAGACACATATTGATCCAGGATAAATCATGAATTTGGTGACATATTCCAGAATTGTTCGTGCATACATCAACAAAAATGAGTAATTAAAACCACCATTGATGCTATATGTTAGTCTCATTTTTCTACTTTTTCTCTTCCATGCTTACTTTTTCACATAGAATACAATATCAGATCTGATAAAATAAGCAAAACAATATAACATAAATTTCATCAGATCTGCTGGTACTAAGATGTGTGCAAGAAGTTTGCACGATTGACAAAGCAATTTTCTATGTGCCTCACCAAACTCTCAGACTTGCATACTCCTTCAAAGTTCCAAATTTCTAATAAACTGCTACAAAGTTTAGATACGCTTTTAAGTAACACATGATTCCTGCATGTTCTGCCATAGAAATTCTTGACACATCATATTGAAATGGTATCCACGAAACATTAATGTGACATCCATGTGCACATGGTGAACATAAAATTTACCATGTTCTTTCCATGCATCTCTATGTAAGAACCATTCAAGTGCCACATCAACCCTTACCTAAGGTCGTTGACCTTGGAATCTCAAAGCACTCAAGATTTTACCAGTTCCTTCAATATGACTCTAGGAAAAACATGAATTTATGATATCCCACTCTGTCTTATTGACTTATAATAGTTGAAAGACTGGCTGAAACCTTGCTGCTGCTAGTATCTCTAAGATAGGTTTTCAACTTTTCCTAAAATTTCTCATTCATGACTACAAGTGTAGAAACAAGCCGTTGCCCAAATCATCTAGTCTTTATGAACTTCAAACTATGAAGAAATCCAATGGATGTGCCGCTTTGAACATACTGTCCTTCACATTTGAAGTACTTTAAAGGCCACCAATTTGATAGCTAGATATGGCTGTGCTACTTGTGACACTAAAATGTTCAATTCCACCAGACATTTGTGACGAACTTGGCAGCATCTATTTTATTAGGAGGAAAAAGCAGTCACTGCTTAGAAATAAATAAAACTAAACAATAAGAGTTTGACCAGAATGAATTAAAAGAGAGTTTGTGCAGAAGGGCATAACAAGTACACCTAGGTTTCCAGGGCATGAACTTAAATGAAAAACAAGCTACAAGTTCATCTTGCGTAAATTTCTCAGTAGAAGTCTGCGTTGCTCTATAAAGATATTTAAAGATACGAACCAACAATAATAATATAGTAGCATGCTTCTGCTAGCAATGATTAGAACAAATGACAGTATACAGATGACACATATGAGAATTTATGTATGGTAGACTAAGAAAAATAAGGAGTATAATCAAGAGTTAGTATGAAAAATGTGAAGTCAGCAGATATCCAAAAAGTAACAAGATTTACAGGTTGATGCACCTTTACGAAATCACCGAAGTGCAAATACTCCTGTTCTGCGGCCTCATTAACCTCATCATCTTCTCCACCATCTGGCATTAAAACTACCGCATCATCCGCCTCCACTTCCCACTCTTCCTCAAGAAACGGTGCTCCGTACTGAGCTCCATTCTGGGGTCCGGCACCGCTCTTCTGAAAGATCCTGCATACCACGAACGCATTCTTCCCCACCCAGAATACCAAAATCAATTCTCGACCGACCCGAAGAACTTGATTTCATCTAAAGAGAAGCAAAAAAAAAAGATCGATGCATCGTGTACCTGCGAAATGCCGGCCTGGGTCAACTCCTCATCCTTGAGGCGGTACTCGTGCATCACCCAGTTCGTCCTGGTGCCGTGTGGCGCCCGGCCAGCATGGTAAACGAGCGTTTTCTTCATGCCGACGACGCGGGGACCACGGCAGACGGGGCGATCCTTGCCGGTGGTCTTCCAGTACCCCTGCGGGGTGGCGCGGTTGGTCCGCGATCGGTTGGAGTATTTACGGTCAAGGGGGCTGAAGAAGTACCACTCCAGGTCGCGGCTGCGGATCCGGGAAAGGCCGGGGAGGTCCCAGGGCTCGCACCTGTAGAGGTCCACCTCGGCGACAGCATCGTTGCGGAGCGGGCGCCCGCAGACCTTCCGCTTTAGGTAGTAGCTGACGAGCTCCTCGTCAGTGGGGTGGAAGCGGAAGCCGGGAGCGAGACTCGACGCGGCCGCGGGGGGCAGCTGGTCAGAGGAGGCGGCGTTGCCGGCGTTCAGAGATCGGCGGGGCATCGGATCGATTCGGGGATCGGCGGAGGATTCTGTGAGGGTTTCGATCAAAGGATTAAGTATAAGGACGGAAGAGGTTCTCGATTGTTCTTCGTATTAACTTTCTACGGCTTTGGGGCACTTCCCATCGAGGAGACTTGCGCGAAAAGAAGAAGTACTATCGCCACTGGTCTTTCGTACGCGATCGTTCTGCGGCTCCTCATCGGACGTTTTACAATCTTCCACGTCATCGAGTAGGGCTTCATACGTACTATTAACTGGTGACGGTTTCGAATCCTGGGCAAAGAAGGGCTACTGATCGTAGCTCGGGGTTTCTTAAGATTAGTGTTAATATACCAAGTGGTCCGAATATGCAGAGAGGACATTTATGATTTTTCCGTTTACTATTTTTTCACTTCGCTATTCGACATTTCGTTAATTACCAAACCATACGAGGACAGGAAATTAGGACATAGAAACAGGAATTATAACATACTAAATACCCATTTTAAATATTTCTCAAACGGTATTCTCATTTTTAAATTTTAAATAATATCTCTAATTTAAAAATACCTAAATTATCCTTAAAAAATATCTTATTTGTTATTGTGTTTTGACCTATTTTGACTTGTTATAGTATCTTGATCATCATAATAAAAATACAATAAAATCTATTTAAGAATATTATAAATGAGTCAAATAAAATCAAAATATACTAAAATAATTTAATTTTTAAATAAATATTTATAATAGTTTAGGAACAACATCACCCAAGCACGCAAATAGAATTCAAATTTTGATCTGTTATAGTATTTGGTTACTATAATGAAAATACTATAAAATTTATTTAAAAATATTATAAATATCAACCAAATCAATTACAAGCCTAAAAATATGATATGATAATGGTCTATGAGTAACGACAACAAAGAGACATAATATTATATCACTTACAATCTTTTTTAATAGCACTTATAGTGTTTTTATTGCCTCAATAAAAATATTATAAATATTATTAAAAATAGTATAAATGAGCCAAATGAAAACATTGTAACAATTTAAAATAGGTAAAAAAAAATGGATGAGAAAATTTGGTAGTTAGAATTAGTGAGGGGTATTTTAGGTATTTTAAATTAAGAGTACTGTTAAAAAAACAATGGGTACCGATTGGGAAATTCCTAAAATATAGATATTTCTAGGGAAATTATCCTTCTCTATTATGGGACATCCATTCTCATTAAATTTCATTTATTTCTTTATATATTTTCGCATAACATATATTTTTATTATGGTATATTCATTCTCATTGAATTTTGTTTATATCTTTGGACTATTACCTAAAAAAACCCTAAAGATCAATATTGCTCTTAGAGCAATCCCAATTTATTTATTCTTATAGATAGTCTCTCTAGTAAGAAATCATATTTTTGAATTGGGTTTATTCTTAAGAAGATAATGGTTCAGGTCAAACCAAGAAAAAAGTTTACTAGACCCTAAATCGTAAACAAAAAGTACCTATGAACCCTGCGTTTATGATCTTCTCCACACCATAACATTTTCCTCTTAAAACAATACCAACATTTGAACTCCTCATTGTAGCTTCATGTGTAATCTACATTGTTAACATAGGCATCTTCATTTTCATCTTCGATCTTTAGGGTATGGTCACAAGGAAGGGGCCTCCCCATCTTTGATCCTTGTTTCGAATCTTCCACAAGAAAGAAACCTAATAATGCCTTCGTCCATGACATCTCACTTTTGTAGCTCTCTCCTCGAGACCCCCCGCAATAACCCTCTAGGATTTTCTCAACATAAACCAAATTTTATATAAATAGATAATTTCATATAAATAATATATATATATATATATATATATATATATTAATGAAATATGGCAGCAAGGTGAAAGTAATTCATTTTTAGTTAATTTTAGGCATGTCAAAAAAAAGGACAATATTGAGGATGTTCTTTATTTCATATTTATTAAGTTATATTATTTCTCATATATGAATGAAAATTTATTAAACATATAATCACAGTTCCATATGTTGATTAGTTTTTTGATCCATCTAAATTATCAGAACATGAAGAGGAAGTGATGGAAAAATCCTATCCAATTTGGACGATGAATGGTCGTAGTTTTATCTGATACTTCTTTATGGCACTCGCCAAGCATAGTAGAGGTCGTTTGGCGTCAATTTCACTAAGACGATATCATTCGGATAATCTGATGCGTACCCCATTTGGTTCATTGATATTCTAGATTTTGCTCTTTTTCGAGAAACTTTATTGCTCTTTCTCGAGGACCTTTATGAAGCATTCTCGAGCCATGGGATATAAAAGACATGTTTATAATCAACGGGGTTCATTTATCATTCATAATGATTAATGTTTCTATTTTTCTCTATTTACCAAATGGAGATCATGCAATTAATTTGATGGCAGAGGCATTAGATAATCCGTATTATCATTATTTCTCATCTTCGATAATGAATTATATCTCATTAGAAACTTTAACTATAGCGCTGCATGACTCTGATGACGAAATGGCTATTTAGGATTTTTGTCTGTTATTTGTCTTCTAAATATGTGCTGATTATCATTTTATTTACAAACTATTCATTTTTTATCATTCATAGTAGAACATGGGCTTAATAATATTATTACTGAAGTCCTTGGTGATGAGGAGAATTTAGAATAAAAATAAATTATGTATTTGACACAGCTCATTAAAGATCGTAGTGTTGAAAAGAAGAATAAGTTTAAGTTAGATAAAACTATCAGAAAAACTGAAGTTGATAAAATTAGGCTACGGAGAAAATTTGTATGAACAAAAAATTAACGAAAATATAGAGGAAATTCTTAGAAATGTTAATGAGAGCATTAAAAATTATGAGGATAATACGAAGGAGAAGAAAAAAAGTTAAGGATAAAACCATTTCAAACATTAAGGAGAATATAAAGTTGCATAATAAAGTCGATAATACGACCGTTAAAGCCGATGATATAATTACTCAAACAGATAACAATAATACTATGCAAAAAAAAAGAAATATGTGGATATGGATAACATTTAAGGTAAGGTTAACAATTAGTTAACGATAAACAACACCTTGTTTTTAATATTATCTTGTTAATTAAAATTTTATATTTTTTTATAGAAGGAGAGAGATCCAATTTCAGATGAGGAAGAAGCTGCCATCATTATATGCAAACTGAAGACATTGTTATGAGTTAGATGAATTAATTTGACTTGCTTGTTTGAATGTAATAAAATTAGATATTGTTGGTTATCCTATTATCATATTAATATCTAGCATAAACTGAATTCTATTGACATTTGTATTGGATTTTCTAACTTGATATTAAATATGATGTCATTATTTATGTTTATCCTATTATCATTTGTTGGGATTAAATATGATGTTGTTAAATTTAATTGCTATTGTTGTTTAATCTCTACTTGCAAGTAATTATCTCATAATGTTTACTTTTCTGTGACATTATAGCCTAAGGTACTCGAATTATATAGAACAAAGATTGAATGTATGTATGTGACATGCATGCCTTTAGGACTTTATTAGATTAGTCAGTTCTGACATACGGGGAATTATTTGATGCATATTCAAGCTTGTAAGTAGGTATAGCGCAAACATCATCTGACGTGTGTTCTTGTCATCAATATTCATGTATTCTAGATTTTACATAATTGAATAAAATTTTTTCTTATTGAATCTTAGATTTTGATGATGATCAAACATCATCGCTAGAGCAGATATTGCACCAAGGATATTGAAGTTGCAGAGGTCAACTAATCAATTGGGCAATAGGCCGCAAGAGAGGATGATGCGTCGAAGAATCGGATGAAGCGTCGATGGATCAATGACATACCGAACGACATGATTCATGCTTAGTAATAATTGTCTAGATCAAAGTGTGTTTTTATATATACAGGATTAACTACGATAGCAAGACATAAGTAAAATGAAGTCCTAGAGTCAAAAAAGTGATTTTGTTGGGAGTTCGAGAGTTCATTAAAAGTCCAGACATTCGTCGGAAGTTCTATCGAAATTGACCAAGAAGTCCTGGAGCTTGCCAAAGAAGCTCGTAGGAAATCGCCAAGAAGATTGTTGTGAAATCTAGGAACTTGTCGGGAGTCAGCTGGAACATTGTCGAGAGATCGTCAGAAGTTCGTCGAAAGATCGTCGGAAGCAACCGGACTTATTTTACTTAGAATATGTCTCAGGAATCATAGTTAGTATATAATTAGAGTTGAGATTGTGAGGTAATCCTATCAACTCTGTTAGGGGCCAACTAGGCCTGAAGTTAGGCTGGTTTGGGCCATATTCAAGGCCCAACTAGGATGCTGAAAGCCTGGCCGGTGGTGGCACCGCCTGGGGAACCGCACTCCAGGAATTCTAGGTGATGGTACCGCCCAATGGCAAGGTGTCAGACGGTGGCACTGCCCCTATCAAGCGGTGGTACTGCCTAGTGCAGTGTTAGTGTCAGACTAACACTAGCGGTGGTACCGCCCAGCATAAGTAGTGGTACTGCCCAGCACAAGCAGTGGTACCGCCCGTACGTAGAAAACCCAGGATAGGATATTTTTAGGCTCTAAGTTTGAATCAAATTGAGGCTTATAAATAACTCTCTCATCCTTTGTTAAGTAGCATAAGCACAAAAAATTTAAAAAGGAAAAAATGCTGTAGTAATCTCTTGTGAGAATCCTCCTCTTCTAGTCTAAGTGTTAGAATAGTTTGAGAGCGGAGTGAGTGCTTGTAAAGGTTGTTTCCTAAGCATGTGAAAAGGAGAAGAGGGGTGTAAGAAGGAGGTTGATCTTCGCCTATTAAAGGAAGATCGATAGTGGATGCCGGTGGTCTCGACGAAAGAGAAATCAACGGAGTGGATGTAGGTCACGACAACCGAACCACTATGACTCGGTTTGCATTTACTTCTTGCAATTTATTTTAAACTACGAATTGTCTTCTCATTACTTGCTATGCTCTTCTTATTTCTTTCAAAGATAAGCATTTCTGAAATCGATTTTATCATATGAAATGAAGATTTTACGAAACTGACGTAATTTTTACCGCTGCACTAATTCACCCCCCCTCTTAGTGCCGACTCATTCCTAACAGTTGGTATC